ATTTGGATTAATTACATGGATAGTTGTCACGAAAAAGTAGTAGGTAACAAGATTGCCAAGATAATATTTGAACCCTTCCGAAAGGATGTCCCGGAATTAATCGAAGCCGGAAAAGGTAGCAGCTACCCTCCCTATCGGTTTATATCCGAAAGTCTGCAAGAAATGATGCCAAAGCAAGCTGAAAATTCTTCCTAGTTCTTCTTACTAACGTTTTAATATACCTGCTAAAGTAAAACTTGAATTATACATGCTACTTTAAATATCAAAAAAAGTAGATTGCGCGACCACCTCGAAGTGTTTCCACTGCGATCTAGCTTATCTCATAAATATGGTACCACTCGCTGGTGATTCTATGTTTTGGTCTTTGTATACTCTAATGTGTAAGTATAAAGGGACGAATGGTTGGACCGTATTATGGTGTATCACACATCACACCTTCCTGCAACTCAAGAAACGCTCAGAAAGAATAATGTAGAGTACCGCGACGAAGTACCATGGCAAGTGCTGGTTTGGATCCTCTTGGGTCATGTCGTTCCCAAAGCCACATTCTACTCAAAACGCATTTATTTAAAAAAGACAACAGCATGCAGATTACTTAGAATGCTCACATTGACATTGTCAACACAGATCTCATCAGCAGCCATGAGTTCTGAACGTAGTCAAAATAGTTTACGCACGTTTTCCCAGATGATCCGAAGATGAGGGCGTATCATATGGTGCCGGCACTGGCAAACTCAACTAGGGTGATTCTATTTCAACTACTAACGTTTAAGCTACAGCAAAGCAGTTCTGTTGGACTATTTCTTTAATGCTTAGGAATGTTGCAAATTCAAAAGGCCTTTTCTATTATTGTCAGAGCTGTTGTGGTGTTGAAGACACGTAAGCTAGTCATTTGTAGATCGCTTTGAATGCGCACTGAGTGCACTCAGCGGACATTAATGAACTAGGTAAGAGCTAAAATAGTTTGCAAGCAAACGAGAGCGAGCAATGATGACCATTCAATCGTGCAAAAATGATACGTTATGCGAGAAGACTGGTCACCTAGATTCGCACCGCAGGAGAATGTGTACCTTGAACCTCGAGATGGGTAAATTCGGAACACTCACTGGCTTTCATTTCAGACCAGAAGAGCAGCTGAATATGTTCAAGACTGCTTTAAACAGAAAAGTAATTTGAAAGATATCGTAAACGCGTCTTTTTCGCCCATGTTGAGACCAACACTACCTTAAGACCAAATTCTTGCAACTTGTGAGCTTTAACGAGAAACGCTGTGGACCGCATACAAGTAGGATGGTTAACAAGTTGATCGTTCTCTTTCCGAATACATTCGTATAAAACAATGCTTTGTCAAGACCTTGAGTAAAGGACTTGAAACTGCTATGTACAGATCACGCGGATCTATAATTTTGAGTGTCTGCTACCCATTAATGAGTGAATGAAGACGAAAGAAAGGGCGAACATTCTAGTATCCAGTTTTTTGTGGAAAGTCTTGGAAAGGATCAAATTTAGGTAAACTCGTTTTCTTCTTCTAGCTGGACAATCATTGGGTCTAAGTTTGCAAGTGGGAATGATAACCTTATATTTGTTTCCATAGACATCAAGCCTTTTTTTGTACGCACGTAATTCTGTCTTTTCAACCAGTACGATTAATTGCGTACAAGTAGACAATATGCAACCGCAACTGAATCGTCAGAGGACTTTATTCTCTGTAGAGATGGAATAAGAGATGTTTGAGTACCAAAGACAAAATGACATGCTAAACAAGTTTAGGATGAAATCAAAGAATTGGTGATCGAAGGGCCGGAAGAATGTAATCTCACACTTGAATGCGCTCGTTAACGTTTAGCTGCGCAAATGAGGCACATCAAAGAGCGCCTTAACTGGCCGCCGGAAGTAAGCATTTTTAATCGCCAGAAAGTATTATTGTTGCTTTTTCCAGGACTTAAGGCCCGGGAATCCCCATCGGAATGAAGGATGTTGGGATCACCATGACGTTAAAGGTTCTCTGTGACGGGGCACACGGTACCTTGCACAGAGGAATTTTGACTTCCAAGAGTATACAAACTCTAAGTGAACGGCAGTTCACAGATCCTTGGTCA